CATCAGAAAGCACAGCTTGCTCCCTGCCGGCCCTGTGCTGGGGCCTGGGGCCAGCTTGTGCTGGGGCCGGGGCCTGGAGCAGGGGGCCGGGGGGCCGCTCTCCACCCTCCGCCCTCCGCCCTCATCCTCATCCTCGTGGTGAGCGCTCCAGGGCTGTTGGAGCATGGCTTCTGGAGCGGACATGCCTTCCGCCCGGCCTCCTTGGGGATGCTCCCAGGATGACTCGCCTGCGTGCAGGCTCTCCCCTCTTCCTGAGTTTCTTGGGAGATGGGGGCGCTGGTGCTGGTTCCCATCCTGCATCCCACCCCGTACTGTATTGGCAGCCTCGGCCTTTAGGCCACGTGAGTGTCTGACCCCACAGTGATGTCTGTCTAACCTCGATGCTTCCAGAACTCCTGCTCTTCAGGTGGTGCCGCTGCCTGCTAGGTCACCCTGAGCTGGACGGCCCCTCCCAGTGCGCGTGGCCCAGCTGTGCAGCGGTGCCCTCCCGTGGGGCCCAGACCTAGTGCTGCAGTCTGATCCCACCCCTCCCGCCCCGCAGGGCCTGTCCGCCCATCTTTCAGTAGCTAGCCCCGCACGTGGCAACACTGGAGCAGGCGAGGGGAGCCTTAGCGTTTCATGGGACCTGGGGCTTCTTGGCGTCACCGGGTGGCTCTTCCCACACACCAGCTGTCTTCTCTGCCTGTCCTCTGCTGTCCCAGCTCCAGAGCGCCATGCGGTCACCCCTTCTTTATCTCTGGTCTCCAGGGCCTAGTCCCCTCCCGTAGAGCTGAATACTGGCCACTCCTCACCCTGCTTCTCAGCCCTCCAGCCCTGGGGTTCCTGGGCTGTGTAGCTGACAGCTGGACAGCTCCACTGGAGTATGCAGTGGGCACCCACATTTTGTTTTCGTGTTTTGCTTTTTGCCATAGGGTGTGTGCGCTCGCTGAGCAGAGGCAGAGACGAGGGAAAGTGAGAAATCACCCCCGGGGGATGGCCGCACTGCAGTCTCGCCCTCCATTCCCCTCTAGGGGTTTTAGCATGTAAGCAGCATGTGTTCCCAGCATGTTTTCAAGCCATCGGGTCCAGGACTTGAACCACAGTCGGCCATGTGGGAGTCCAGCACCTTAACTGCCATGCCACCTCTGGCCCCAGCAGCCCATGTTTCACATGTCAAGGTTGTTTTTTACTCTGGCCCTTATCATCCCCTCTTATCTCTCCCCGTGGCTCCTTTTCCCCAGATACACACTACCCCTGAGTTCCTCAAGCCGCAAACGGGAGTCAGACACCCAGGAGTGTCTTCAGCCTCATTTTCCTCCCGGTCAGCTCCTATCCTCCTATCCGTCAGCAGCGTCACCTTCGCCGCGTCCCGGACCCTCGTGCACGGGCTTTCCCGTAGCGGTGGACCACAGTCCCTCCTCCCGGGGGGTAGGCCACAATACCTCCTCCCGGGCGCTGCAGTGGCCTCCTCCAGTGGCCGTCCAGCACCTAGGAGGCAGGGCTATCTTTAACCACTAACCGGGTCGCCTGCCTGTGGGAACCCTCCAGCGGCTTCCCGGGGTGCCTAAAATACCACCCAGAGCTGCTCCAACCCAGTCCCATGCGCCAGCCCCCGCCTGCCTCCCTGACCTCGTTTCTCTCCCTCCCAGGCGGCCACAGCTTCTTTGTAAAAACTTGCTGGAGGGTATATGCCCGTGCGGGGAGGAGATCACCCCGGTGTAGGCCTGGGACTCAGTGCGGTTGCCCACGTAGGATCCAGCTGCCTTATCCACAGGCCACGGTGGTTGTTCTTTTAAGAACTATTTTTAGTTTAATCAATTGCCGTGCTGATTTTTAGCTTGCTGTAGGGCACACGCCCTCTTGAGAGCGAGCACGCGTGTGTAGGGCCGGGTCTGGGACTCCAGCCACAGTTGGCCGTGTGGGCAGCCAGCGCCGTAACCCCCAGGCCACCTGCTGGCTCCCCCTTCTTTTTTCTAATGCCACAGCACCCGTGATTCACGTAACCCTGCCTTGCTGGAGCAGGTACTCTGGCTGGAGGCCGGCTGGGCGTGGGGCGGCGGTAACAGGTGCACGGTGCACAGAGCTAGCAGCAGGTGGGGAGCCCTGTCCCAGGAGGGGAGCCGCGCAGCCAGCTGCGGAGTGCTGGGACGGGTGCGGGGGTGGATTTTAAGCAGGGTGGCCAGGACGGCCTCTCTGGGTGACGTCTGAGTAGTAATCGGTGACGGCAGCAGCGGGACAGTGGCAATGGGGTCATAATAGTTGCCCCAGTCTGTCCCAGGCAGAGAAGGCAGCAAGCAGAAGTTAGGGATTGTAGCCATCCAGCGCCGTGTGTCGGGGAGCAGCTGGGGGCGGTGTGTGGACGAGGGGTGAGCCGGGAGGGGCAGCAGGCGATGAGGCCGGGGGGCACAGGGAACCAGCCCAGCACTGGCTCCACAGGAAACCTCTGAAGAGCTCCACCCAGCACCGGTGGGCATCAGGGTGCAGCTGGTCTGGGGCGCCTGGCGCCAGCATTGCGGCCTTTACTTTTGGGAAGGTGCTGTCATCGGGGTTTGGTCATGGGAACAGTAACTTGGTAATCGGTTGAAACTCCAGGAATG